GACCATCGACCAGCAAACGTCTCTAGAAGAGGCTATTCTGGACGAAGTAGTGGCGATCGGATCGCAAAACAACGATCTACAAAATGTGGGTCAGCTGCGTTTTGCGGAGATACACTTTCGGGTGGGCATGATCCTCATAGATTGTGTATCTCAAGATTCGGCGAATTGGTTGGTGGAAAGCGCACCTAAGCATAAAAATTGGCAAGGGCCGAAACTGGTTGCAGTGAAGGAAGAAAACATCCCTAAAGGAGCGGCCATCACGGTCTTCTGTCGAGGAGCAAGGGGAAATACACCACCTACCTGCTGAGGCTTATCAAGGGTCAGAACTTCAATGTAAGGACATCGAGTTGGCGAGTCATCAACTCGAGGGAGGAGGGTCATGGTCAGGTCCTCACAATAGGAATTGACCTCAAATCCAAGGAAGAAATACAGAAAGAGGAACATATCCTCTATTGTAAATACGGGACGACACCGGTATCAGGTCTAAGGAGAGACCAAGTTAAAGAGGTAGAGAAAATTGAGACAGATCTTCCAGCCTCAACCTCACGGGTTCCTCAGCCGGAGGCAAGCTATTTGACTAAGGGCGGCACGGAGAGCCAAACTCCAACTGTGGAAGGGTGTGTACCCTCGGAGGAAGAACTGTTGTCAGAGGAGGATGGGAAATACCCTGTCCCCTCTGCAACAGGGGTATGATGGGTTATAAATTGTGTGATGACTAAAGAAAGGCAGGCACAATAGATCTTTATGGTCGCAGTGATTAACCCCTTACTCATTCTACATTCTACATGATACTTGGAAAACTAATTTAGCTACCTGAAATTTTTGACTACCATTTCTACGAACCTGCGGACACCTGCAATATTCGTTCTTCGTTCCCACTAAAGATCTCCCATCAGCATTTTTATAGAATCGAATGTTTAATTAAATGTTTCCTTTTGAATTATTCCATTTATAATCATCATAGAATTAAAATGTATTTTATAACTTAGAAAATAAATTTAATAAAAACAGAGTTGTCGAGTTTCTATTTCTTCTACGACCTAGGAACTTAATTAGAAATGATTCAATGGAAGTCCAAAATTATGAATCACTCTTCCGAGTGGCAATATCGGGAGTTATTACCTAAATGCGGCCAGGACAAGATCCAAAAAACATTAGAGGATCAAATCTCTTTTTCCAATGCTTCTTTATTAAAAATTAGTGTTTTTAACATAGCCATAGCGCTCTAGATTGTAATATAAAATACAATTTTTTTTAAGCGTAAATGTCAAAAGTTTACATGTGATATGTCATTCTACTCAGAGTGTCATTTTTTATCGAATAAAGTAAAAATATACCGAGGGTGCCATTTACAAAGTCATTTCCGGTAAAACAAGAAGTAGTTATAGAAAGAGTTAAAATAAAATAGTTATAGAAGTAAACCACTTTAGAGACGCACACGGTATAAAACATTAATTTATATACAGGGTGGGCCACTGAAAACTTACAATGGCTATAATTTTTAAACTAAAAAAGATATCAAAAAATAAAATATACCGTTTTTATAATATCGAGGGGGAATACATATGACGTATTTTTTGAAGCATCCCTACTCACTTGAAAATGTTAAATGGCAACACCCCACTTGTGGCGCCTTTTTGAAAAGCCCATGAAAAATGCTAAACGATGATCATAAAGTTTTTAGGGTGAAATTGAAAAACTACCCCTTACACGAAAAATTAGGTGGACATTAATGAAAAAAGTGATTTTTTTAGCATACGTTACAAATTAGGACCCAGCTAAATGAGGTATTTTTCAAACCACCCCGACCCACCCCTGGGTGCCACCCACTCACTTCTAACCTCAAGATAGCGATACCCCACTTGTGACACCTCTTTGGAAAGCGTATAAAAAATGCTGAACGACTGTCATAAAAAAGAACGAAAAAAACGGAACTAAAAATAAAAAAAATGTCAAACCGTGTCAAAATCAATAGAATGAATTATTTTTGTATCCATGTACCATTGCGAGAAAAAAAACTGGTACAAAGAAATTTATTATAACTCTTAATGAAGACCTCATACACTTTCAGCAAGATGGAGCCCCTCCGCATTATTCTATTGTCACAAGGCGGTGGTTGGATAAATATTATCCAAGGCAATGGATTGACAGAAGGGGTCCAATCGAGTGACCGCCAAGGTCACCTGATCTCACTTCTTTAGACTTTTTCTTATGGGGTTACACTAAATCCATAGTCTACAAGACAAAACCAGGTTCGTTGCAAGAATTGCGGCAGAGGAGAACTGAAGCATGTCGAAATATTCCGAGAGAGACTTTCCAAAAAGTGAGAGAAGAGTTTGAAAATCGTTTGTATTTTTGTATGGAACAAAACGGCTGTAATTTTGAGCAATTTTTAAAATAAATTATCATTTTCTTTCAAATGTCACACCTACATTTCTTATCACTACTTACCAGTAATTAAGTTGAAGTCTGTATGACCATCGTTTAGCAATTTCAATTAGCTGTCCAAAGAAGTGTCACAAGTGGGGTATCGCTATCTTGAGATTAGAAGTGAGGGGGTGGCACCTAGGGGTGGGTTGGGGTGGTTTGAAAAATATCTCATTTGCCTCATTTAGCTGGGTCCCAATTTGTAACTTATGCTGAAAAAATCACCTTTTTTATTAATGTCCACCTAATTTTTCGTGTAAGGGGTAGTTTTTCAATTTCACCCTAAATACTTTATGATCATCGTTTAGCATTTTTCATGGACTTTCCAAAAAGCGCCACAAGTGGGTGTTGCCATTTAAGATTTTCAAGTGAGTAGGGTGCCCGCCTAAGGGGTAGGTCGGGGTGGTTAAAAAATACGTCATATGTATTCCCCCTCGATATTATAGAAACGGTATTTTTTATTTTTTTGATATCTTTTTTGGTTTAAAAATTATAGCCATTGTAAGTTTTCAGTGGCCCACCCTGTATATACAGGGTGGCGCACCTCATTCGCCTCGGTTGATTATACGAAAATGGAAAGATGTAGAAACAAAATATTTTATGGGTATATGTGGGGAGGTAATGTGCACAATTTAAAATTATTTTGTAAATGTACAGGGTGTTTCACAACTAAGATACATACAAAAGTTATATTTTTTTCTTATGGAACACCCTGTATTTTATTTCATTTTTGGTTTCTTGGGCCCGAAAAAAGGTATTTATTATAAGGGTTAAATATGTTTAAAATCCATGGTTTTTGAGATATTTAAAGATATTTAAATTTGCATGCTACAATAGAATATATTATTAACATCCTGTATATTACTTTTCAGGATTAATTCTTGTGCTGAGTTTAAAGGTAGAGAAATAAACTTTACAGAAAACTGTTATTTCTTCCTTAAATGTATACAGGGGTATCAAAAATTGCTGGTGTATTTTAAATATTTATTTTACATAAAAACTTTGTTATTTCAAATGCAGCACTATGTATTTTTTTAAATAAATTGAAGCAGATTTAAATGCTCTTTCAAACTATATTAGGATTTCCTATACCTATCTGGCTCAGATTTTGAATAAAAAGCGATTTTTCAATAAAATTATAATCAAGATGGCTAGTGTTGTCATGACAAGTTTCTAGTGATAGTTATTAGCTATTTTCAAAATCGAAATTAGTTTATGTACTTATTTAAATTTATACCAGTTTACTTTTATTTAATTTACCTACAATAGTTTAATAAATAATATTTATTAAATATGTGTTTATTATTCTATCAAGAAAAACGAAGAAGTAGTTCTTTGAATTATTTTACGATGACTTGTAGATATATGCATTTTCTATAAAAGAGCCAATTACGGCAAATTCATTTTATCAGGAAGATTCCTCTTTGGATATCTTTGAGTATAAGCCCTTGAGGCCAAGAAGCAATTTTCCTCACAAAATAATATCACTAGTAACATATCTATTCGTTCCACCAGCAGATACTGCTTTATTTCTCTTGATAAAGTAATAAATACTTACTTATTAAACTCTTTGTAGGTAAATTTAAGTAAACTGTTATAAACTATAAATAATAATGTCCATAAACTAATGTCGACTTTGAAAATAGTTACTAACTGTCACTAGAAAATTGCCATGGGGACACCAGCCATCTTGATTACAATTTTATTGAAAAATCGTTTTTATTCAAAACCTGAGCTAGATAGGTATAGGAAACCCTAATATAGTTTGAAAGAGAATTTGAATCTGCTTCGTTTATTTAAAAAAATAGAGGGTGTTGCATTTGAAATAACGAAGATTTTATATAAAATATATCCATAAAATAGATCAGCAACTTTTGATAGCCCTGTATAAATTTAAGAACCAATACCATTTTTCAGTAAAGTTTATTTCTCTACCTTTAAACTCAGCATAAGAATTAATTCTGAAAAGTAATGTACAGGGTGTTAATAGTCTATTCTATTGTAGCATGCAAATTTAAATATCTGTAAATATCTCAAAAACCAAAGATTTTAAACATATTTAACTCTTATAATAAATACCTTTTTTTGGGCCCAAGAATCCAAAAAGGAAATAAAATACAGGGTGTTCCATAAGAAAAAATATAACTTTGGTGTGGATCTTAGTTCTGAAACACCCTGTATATTTCAAAATAATTTTAAATTGTGCACATTGTCTCCCCACATATATCCATAAAACATTCTTCATCATTCTTCTATATAGACTGGTGGTAGCAAGGCGGCTGCGGTTTCAAGAATAAAGTGCCTGAGAAAGCCCACCATGATGAGGCGAAACGTCGCATAATAAAAAAAAAAGTTTCCATTTTCAATTAATAAAAAAAAACCTCATACCCAAGAAAGGAAAAAAAAATTTATATGGATAAAATATTTTGTTTCTACATCTTTCCGTTTTCGTATAATCAACCGAGGCGAATGAGGTGCGCCACCCTGTATATATAAGGTGCGATCAGCGACAACAAATAATACAAAACACGAATATATCACAATTTAGAATGAAAACAAGCGTATTCAATTACCTGGTTTCTTCTTTCGAAAAGCTGGCAACTGATCGACAGTTATCGGTGGTAAACGAAGTATCTCTCTTTCAGGCTGTCCTTTATTGTTTTCCTCCCTTCCCTGTTGTTTCAACCCTTTTCCGGACTTCTGCCTATACAAAAATAAATCCAATCAGACTTCTAAAAATAATTTCTAAAAATAACTATAAAAGTGTTCCAATTTCGCAGCTACCTAATCTTTGCGCTTTAGTTGATTTTAGCGGCCGACCCTTACGTCGTTGTTCGTTAAACCGTTTTAACCTCACATGACAAAGGCTAATTTCCGAGAATGGTGGCCGACAAGGACTGAAAGTAAAATGATTGGAATGGCGACCTAAGGGCCTCGGCTCGTTTCGTTGACCTCCTGACCTAAATTAAAATACCTAGATCTGCTTTTATTCTGGACAGGATTTCTTATTGCAATTCATTTTTTTGCCATCAACTTGATTTATTCTAAGTGACACGCTATACTGCAAAACTGCTTTATGTAAATGATAGGTTTTTTTTATAACAAGCGTCCATTGACCCCATGTGAGTTAATTTTACGAAACTATTAACTGAGGGAATAAAAGGCGGAATAACTCACAGTCATATACAGGGTGTTTCAAAAAACATGTGCCATCTCTCGTGGGGAGACTCTTCATGTAAAAATAAGATTTATTTTTCATATCAACATAGGTCCAATTCTGCTTTATTTCGTAGGTACAGGGTATTCCCCCCTCGAGGTGTCTCCACCTTGTCGTGGTGAGGGGGCTTGAATACTACAGTGATCCTGAGAGCCATGTCGGTGGTAGCATAGCTACCGGTAGGGGCACCCTTGCCAAACGGGTCGAAGGAGAGTGGTTAGACGAAGAGAGACACACCAGAAACCCAGGCGGCGACTAACCCGGAGCGGGCGGCGCCGGCGGCCTGGTTAGCGACTGTTTCCCATGTTAGGGACGGCTATTATAAATACAAAATAAGTACAATATATTATGATGGATGACAATATACAGAATATATTACCCCAGGTGGGTACCAGTATAACTGGAGAATCCCACTCCTCTTGCAAAGAGGACTGTTCCGCGAATTCTGGGGGGGACAATCACCCATCTCATGTACCAAAGAATACCCATTTGAGTCAGTTATTTAACCCTTTTAAAAGAAGAAATTCCTTTTCAGTAGGAAATCAAGCTGAACGTAGTATTGTTGATACTGCATTTAAAGACTGTGACCCGTTTGCTCAGAGAGAATCTCTGCGTAGATCTCCAACGAGAGTCAGAACCTTTTCTCAACCGTGTAGTGAACCTTACCTTGAAGTACAACGTAACAAAAGAAAGAGAGCAGATGGTGTAGCTGACGAAAACATTAGCAAGGAAAAAGTGTGTGAAATATATGGAAATGCACTTGGTAATATATTTAAGTCGATAACGAAGCTTGAAAGCGTAATTAAGGATACGTACAAGCCCAAGCAAGAGATAAAAGATATAGCGACTAGGTTAACTTTACAAGCCGAAGTACTGAAAAGTAAGGGACTGATAGAATGGATTAAACAGAGTAATGACGGACGAAACCTAACTGGTGACGTTTCACAACTAGAAGAAGAAAATGCAAAATTAAGAGAAGTGGTTAAAAGCAAGGAAAGGGAACTAAATAATCTCAATTTCTCCAACAGATTTGAAAAATGTGAAAGATGTGCATTAGTAAATGAAAAAGCTAAAAGGAGGAAAACTTTAATGGAAGGAGAATCTTATGAGGGGTTCAAAAGAATAACAGAGGAGAACTGGAACGATGAATCCTTTTCTAACCTTCGCGTTATACAAGGACATATCTTGGAAGCTCCTGCAGAGTTTGATATTATCATTCCGTGCAATAAAAATATGGAACCATCAAATAAAGAAATTAAAGAAGCTATGATAAGGATAGGTGGTATGGACGGCCTTAGACCACAAAAGAAAAGGGTTAGAGAAGTAGCCTTAATGGTGTGCAACCAAGGATTTCCGGATGCAGAAGGAGTTATAATATTTAGAACCAAAAACATATTTTACCCTATTACTAAAGAGAAAACTGACGTAGATGAAATAGAAGAGTTAAGGATATTTGAAAGCGTCATTGAATTAAAAAGGCTAGTTTTGAAACATAACACAAAAAAGATGGCTATTCCGGACATAAAAACCCCTGAAAACTCCTCTTTTGTTAAGATGGTCGAATATCTTTTTGATGAGACTGATTGTGAAATTATCTTATATAAGCCATATAGTGGCTCTGAGCTTGTATTAAATAAAAACCAAAGAGAAGACCCAAGTGAAGGCCAAAAAAGCCTCTCAAAAACCCCAAGTAGACAAGAAAATGGAGCTATAATAGCAAATATAAAGGAGCACTCATATGCCGATACCTTGAGACTAGTGAAAGAGGCAATAAACCCTAATGAACTGGGAGTAGAAGTTAGTGATATCCGAAAAACCAAAAATGGCGCATTGTTGCTCACAGTGAAAAATGGAGCAGAAAAGGCAGAGCTACTTCGAAAAGAAATCGGTGACAAGCTGCCAGACGTCAAAGCTATAAATATTAAAGAGAAAAAAGTCATACATATAAAAGGGCTTGATGAAGTTAGTACGGTTAAAGAAGTTAGAAATGCACTCACAGAAACCCTATCGCTAAAACCTGAATTTTTTGAAGTCAAATCTCTGAGACCTGCTTATGGAAACGAAGAAAATGCCCAAAGTTTAATTATGTTAAAGACTATAAAGATAGGGTGGATGAATTGTAAAATCCAAGAGAGACAATAGTACACGAAATGCTACAAGTGTTGGGAACCAGGCCATACGAAAAAAGAGTGCACAAATGAGAGCAGAGAACATTTGTGTTTAAAATGTGGCAGTGAGGGTCACAAGGCTACTGATTGCAAGAAATCACCTTTCTGTATCTTCTGTAATAGAGAAGGCCATCAGTCTAGAAGCATAAAATGTGCAGTGAATAGTGGTTTCAAGACAACCAAAAAAAATGTCTAAATATAAAATAAGAATCATTCAAATAAATACAAACAGAAGTCGATGCGCTCATGACATGGCCATAGCTACAGCTTCTGAAGTAAATGCTTCAATTCTAGTAATCAGTGAACCAAATAAAACTGCTGTAAAAGGGAGACAAGACTGGGTATGTGACGATAATCTCGATGTAGCCTTAAAAGTTTTTGATAAGGACCTAACCATAAAGAACCAAGGCAGTGGGGCAGAGTTCTCTTATGTTACAACCAAAGACGCCACTATATACAGTTGATACTCATCAGGTAACAAGGAACTTGTACACTTAGAGACAATGTTAGAGGCTATTGAAGAATTAATAAAAAGTCACAAGGGCAGAACCATCATAACTGGGGATTTTAACGCCAAGTCCCCTCAGTGGGGGATGAATTATACAGATATACGCGGACGTACAATAGTAGACTGGATGGCAGCTAACAATCTCGTAATTGCAAATGAGGGCATTACACCAACTTTCCAATGTAATAACTACACATCAATTCTGGACCTGACTATAGTCAGTAAAAATGTTAATATACAAAAGTGGACAGATATGGATAGAGAGTCCCTCAGCGACCATAAGTATATAACGTTTGAATGTGTTAAAAATGTACAAGCAAAAAGTATTAAAACTTATAACAGGGGCTGGCGTGTTGATAAACTAAATAAAGAAAAGCTAAAAGATGAATTAGGGAAAATTGACCAGAAGTCTGAAAGTACCAGCGTCA